CACCAGGAGCTCATGGCCGAAGCGGTTGTGGGTGACGATGATCACTCCCATGGGTCGCACTCAAGCCAGGAACTCGGGGTGCCCAGTAATCTTGTTCTAGCAGCGATGGAGACCAGCTGTCATGAGGCCCTGGTTTTTCTCCCAGCTCTGCCCTGCTACGACACAATGGGGGTGTCAGAAAAGACAGAACTGATGGACTCTGTGTCTGACTTGAGCTGCAGGACCTTGGGGTGCTTGGGGTCGGGGAAGTCCTCACCGAGGGCCAGGCGGATCTTGCCGTTCTGCGTCTCCCTGATGGGCTCGAGGAAGGCGACGTGCTTGTTGGCGCCGGCCCTGCGGTTCGGCCCGTCGGTGGCAGGGGGGGTGGTGCTGAGGATGGAGGACTGGGCACTGCACTCCTGCGGGGGGCTGAGCGGGGCTGGCTTCTTGCAGCAGCGCAGGCAGCGGCACGGCGTGAGGTACAGGTAGATGATCACCAGCACCAGGGTCACGATGCAGCCCAGCAGAGTCGTGAGGCCAGTGTTGAAGGTCTCCCCAGGTGGCTTGGGGTACTGGACGGTCACATTGAACTCACACAGCCTGCTGAAATTGTGGGTGCTCTTGGTGAAGCCTACGTAGACCCCCGAGTGCCAGGGCTTGGCCTCAGCGATCCTCAGGCTGCCGTTGCGAAAGACCTCCAGGGAGCCGTCACTGTTCCCCGGGTGTTTGATGGGCTCGTGTTGAGGGGAGATCCACATGTAGGTAGTGGCCGAGGACGGCAGACTGGTGTTACAGGTGAGCAGGATGGGCTGGCCCACCATCACCTGGAAGGGCGAGAGGTGCGCGTCTCCAGGGTCCGCCGAGCAGTTCTCAAACATGGGGCTGTATTTGTGGACCTTGATCAGGGACCGGGGCACGTTGCCAGATACCTTGCAGGTGTGTTCCTCGAAGAAATCCTTCACGGAGCTGAATCCTCGCTGCTTCCAGCGCTGGAGCATCAGGTAGAGCGGGCAGGTGCACCTGATGGGGTTGTTGTGAAGGTACAAACCGTTCCCGATGTTTTCGGGCAGAGCCACCAGCACCTCCACAGGGATGCTGCTCAGGCAGTTGGAGGAGAGGTCCAGCGTACGGAGGTTGTAGATCCCCAGCCCCTGCACCGCATGGAAGGGGAAGGTGGTCAGGTTGTTCCAGCTCAGGTAGACTTTCCGCAGACCACTCAGCTTGGCGAAGGCGTTGTCATCCACCCGCTTGATGTGGTTGTTGTAGAGCAGCAGCTCCTCCAAGCTCACCAGCGCCTCGAAGTAGTGCGTCTCCACGGCGTGCAGGTGGTTGGAGGACATGTCCAGGTGCCGCAGGTAGGAGGCATTGTGGAAAGCCTGCAGAGAAAGGTCCCGAATCTGGTTGTGACTGATGTGGAGGGCCTCGAGGTGCGGGAGGGCGGCCAGCCAGCGGTCGTGGAGTTGGGTGAGGGCATTGTGGCTGAGGTCCAGCGTGGTGGTGGTGGACGGCAGTGCCTGGGGCACATGCTGCAGCTTCTGCCGGCTGCAGCTCAGCAGGTCGGAGGTGCAGATGCAGCCGGAGGGGCAGAGGCGGGACTGCGGGGAGGCTTGGGGAGCGCGGCCGGGGGCGCACAGCTGGAGCAGCAGCAGCAGCAGCTTCGCCACCCGCGGCCAGAGCGGGTCTGCGGTCACCGGTGGGGACATTGTGGCGGGCAGGAGCTTCTGTGCAGCCTGGCAGCACAGCCAGGCTCGGTGAGACGCGAGAGAAAGCGTGTCGCCGTCCCCCCTGCTCTCCCCCGGTGCTGCCTTGGCTCTACCAAGCATCCAGAGACGCCCCTTTGCACTCCGCGAAGGAGGATCCCGATTCCAGCCGTGAGGCTTGAAAAGAGTTAAAGGGCGGCATCGCCCTGCCCGGCCGCCTCCGCGCTCACCCGAGGCTGCCCCGTACCTGGCTCCGGCGGGCCGGGGGCTGCGGGGGGACGGCCAGGAGCCGCCGATCCGCATCAGGGGGTTGAGGCGCCTCCGTGTCGGGCTGCGTGTGGGCGCCTCGCTGCCTCCTGGAGCTGCGCATCCCTGGAGTGCGAAGTTTCTCAGCGCTCAGCGCCGCCGGGGCACATCCCCGCGCTCCAGCCTTCGGGGAGCCCCGTCCGGGTCCCTCCCGGGCAGCACCTCCCGGGAGCCGGGCGCGCTGCGGGAGCGCGGTCCCGCGCCTGCCCTTATTTAGGCGCGGGCGGTGCGCGGCGAGGGGGCCGGGCGGGATCCCCTTTGGCCCGCGCGGGAGTGTGGCCGCGCGCGGTGGCCCCGCTGCCCCTCCTGCGAGTGGGCCGGGGGCGAGTCGCAGCCCTCGCGTGGTCGCTTGTCCCCCGGGGGAGCTCAGGGCCGCTCCGGGCCGTACCAGGTGAGCAGCCGCGTCCTCCGCTGTGAGAAACGGCAGCTGCGACCGCTCTAGATGCGGTAAAGGCGGCGCTCCGCCACTGCCCAGCCTCTGGGAGGATGCTGGAATAAACCCACCCCGTCGTCACCTCTGGGAGCCCCTCGTGTTCCATCTTACGCCCAGGCTGGGAGTGGGGATGGCGGTCACCCCCGCAGTGCTCCTTATCTCCCAGCCGTGCTCCTTCCCTCTGCGCGCATCCTGACCACCTCCTGCACAAGCTGGTGGGGACCCCCCAGCACCCTCAGCCATGGGGTGAACAAACAGGATGGCCGAGCCCCGCAGGGTCGCCACGGCAGAGGGGGAGCCGTGGGCTGCTGGTGGAGAGGGGGTGGCCACAGGGTGAAGGACACGCAGGAATGTCATTATCCAGAGCCCAGGCGGTTAGTGGGAAGAGGAGAGCTGGGGAATTGGTTTCCATTAGGGCAGCAAAAAGCTAATTTGGCGGCTGCGGCTGCTGCGAGTCAAGGGGCTGTTAACCCCCTGCGCCCCGGCTCAGCCTGCGACAACTGGATGTTCCCTCACTCCTCCTGCCCCTCTTGCCGCTGGAGCGGCTGGGCTTGCCCCTGGGCCGGCCACGGAGCCAGCTCTGCTTCTTGCCAAGGGCCATGAACGGGCCACGGCACTGATGCCCGATGGAGACACCCATTAAGGTGCCCTTCATCCCTCCTGCCTGTCCCCGCTGAAGCCAGGAAGAGCCACGACTGCTCCCTCCTGTCTTGTGGGGGCACCTGCTTGCTCTGGGGGCACCCTGAGCCGTCCCCTTGGGGCACGGGGCCACAGCCCCCAGCATCAGGCTGCGGGACATCTCCCCTTCTCCCCTGCAGGGCTGTGACCCAGGGCAGCGCTGGCAGCTCCAGCCGCCCCGCAGCTCCCCAGGCTCTGTGGGCACCGGCGTGAGGGCTGCAGCCTCAGCAAGTGCTGATGCACCATATCGATCGCCGGAGCCTCCCGGTCGAGGCTGACAGAGGAGGAGGAGGGTGGCTGCTACCCTTTGGCTGCAGTTGGGCACGTTTCCCTGGCTCTCAGGGAGCGGGGAGACCACCAGCTGGGGATGCAGCCGGGTGGCCTGGGCCTGCAGGGTGTGCAGTCTGTGATCTGACTGTGTCCCTTGGCAGGGCCGAGCGAGCGACGGCGGTGCTGCTGGCGGATCCCTGCTTCCAGCTGCGCTCCATCCAGTACCTGCTGGGCCACGCTGAGCCCTCGGCCCTGGCAGCTGCTGCCCCGGCCACGGACAAGCGCCATTTCTCCCTGCACACCTGTAAGTGCCGGCACTGGGAGCTGGGCTGTGCTCACCACCCGCCCACAGCTGGGCTGGGAACAGGGCTGCTGGTGGTGTCTGTGTCCCCTGCAACATGTCCCGGCCCTTTTAGTCCCGGGGACAGGCATCCTTGACCCTTATCCCCCAGTGGGACACTTTAGATGGGGATGTCTCCAGTGCCTGCTTGTCAGCATTTCTGTCCCTCTCAGTGCCCAAAGTCCAGCCTGCTGTCCCCAGCACGGGGATCCCTGTCCTGGCTGGTCCCCAAGGGGATGCAGCCCCCCTTCATCACCCAGATGCCTCAGGGCAGCCTGAGGGTCCCATCTGCCCCACGTACACCCACTCTGTCCCCCCAGACACAGAGTATATCAGTGCTGAGGAGCTGGCAAAGGTGGAGAAGATGCTGAGCCACCTGAGTGAGGAGTCCAAGCAGGCAGCTGCCACCACACTGGTGAGTGTCTCCTCCCCCCAGCCCTGTCCCCATCCTTGGCAGAAGCCCCGGCTCTGGCACAGCTGCCCTGAGACACAGGGCTTTGTCTGCCACATTAACTGCCTGGTGACCCCCACAGCCCACCAGTGAGGAGGACCTGTGCCCCATCTGCTACGCACACCCCATCTCTGCCATCTTCAGGCCCTGTTCCCACAAGTCATGCAAGTGAGTAACTCCCATGCCTGACCCCTGCCAGGGCAACTGCCAGCCCCCAGCTCCCCTGTGCCATGAGGGTGAGGGGCTGATGCTCTTTCCTTCTCTGTCCCAGAGCCTGTATCAACCAGCACCTGATGAACAACAAGGACTGCTTCTTCTGCAAGGCCACCATCACGGGGGTGGACGACTTCACCAAACCAGCCAGCTCGTAGAGCCCAGCCCTGCCCCACAGGCTCCCCCAGGCTGATGGGGGTGGCCCCCCTGCCCTGCTGGCCTTTCTCTCCCAAACTGCTTGCCCCCTGCTCAGGGCGGTGGGAACCCTCACGCGCAGAGGGCCATGGACCAGCATGGGGCTGCAGTGGTGGGCAGGGGGCTGCAGGGTGGGAGAGGCCTAGCGCCCCTCGCTCTGCAGCCTCTCTGTCCGTGGGCCATTTCTCAAGGGAGGGGAGCGCCGAGCCTCGGCTCTGCAGCAGCGCTGGGAACATGTGGCAGCCCCAGGGCAGTGGGGCTGGGCTGGGCTGGGCATTCGGGCTGTTAACTTGCCCCTGGCTGGGGGCTGACTTCGTGAAATGCAACATTAAATTATTCTTCCTTATGTGGTGCCTTGAGACACAGAGAGGGGAAGCCAGGCCAGCCCTGGCAAGCGACCTGGTGTTTGGGCCATGCTCAGGTAATGCTGAACAGTAAATGGAAATATAAATATTTAATCCAAGGAGGGCTGGGGCCGCAGGGTGCTCTGCTACATGATGATGCGCGGCTCTGGCACGGACTCGGCGATGGATTTGTGTGGCAGCACGTTGGCCCCGTTGAGGTAGAGCTCGTCGTTGACGATGACGTCCTCACCCAGCACGGTGACGTTCTCCATGCGCACCTGCCCGGAGAGGCTCCGTCACACCTGCCCGGCTCTAGGTCCCTGCTGTGCAGGCCGACCTGGCCACCAGCTCCCTCCACGCCACGAGCCTGAGGAGGCGGGAGGGCAAGAGCTGAGCTTCAATACCCTGCAGGGGTACCCAGGGCCTCACCCACTGGCCCACAGAGCAGCTCCAGCCCACGATGCAGGACTCCAGCCAGGAGTGGGAGCGGATGCGGGCCCCCTCCAGCACGGTGCAGCGTTTGATGCGCACCCCGTCCTCCACCACCACGCCGGCCCCGATCGTCACGTTAGGGCCGATGACACAGTTTGCCCCAATCTTGGCACTGGGGTCCTGGAAGGAAGATGGGCTGTGCCAGGGTTGGGAGGGCAGACAGAGCTCTTGGCACAGCCCAGGCCACTAGGCCAGCGTGGGGACAGGAAGGCACAGCTCGAGGATGGCAGTGAGGAGAGCAGTGGGACGACGCGGAGAGCCCATGATGTGCCCGGGGCTGATGTGCTGGGGGCTGGCACTTACCACCAGCACGTTCCCTACAACACCAGGCCCTGAGTGCAGCTTCTCAGGGTGCTGAGCCCGCAGCGCCTGCAGGTACATGCACATGCCCGTGAGGAAGTCCTTTGGCTGCCCAATGTCCATCCAGAAGCCTGCAGGGACAGAGCCGTGGTGACAACCCCCAGAGCAGGGGTGGCAGAGCAGGCAAGACCCCCCGATGCTGCCTGCACTGTGCACAGGGCCTTACCCTGCAGCTCCATGGCATAGAGCTGCCCGTCCTGCGCCATGGCCGGGAAGATCTCCTTCTCGATGGAGGTGGGGCGCAGCTGCAGGGACAGGGAGCAGGGCTGAGCAGGGGGCCCAGCCCCCCCAGCCTGGCCCAGCCCAGCCCCCCGGCTTGTACCTGGATGCGCTGCAGGATGCCGGGGTTAAAGATGTAGAGCCCGGCGTTGATCTTGTTGGACACGAAGACGCGCGGCTTCTCCACGAAGCGGCAGATGCGGCCGGTGTCGGCCTCGCACACCACCACGCCGTACTTGGCCGGCTCCTCCACGCGGGTCACCACCAGCGAGCCCTCGCCGCCGTGGTGCCGGTGGAAACGGGCCAGCGCCTCAAAGGGGAACTCGCAGATCACGTCGCTGTTGAGGACAAAGAAGGGCTCCCCGTCCTCGGCCAGCAGGTCCCGTGCCAGTGCCAGCGGCCCCGCTGCCCAGCCGGGAATGACCCCGCGGGGATGCGGTGAGCCCAGCGCCCGGGTCCTGCTGGCCCCGCCTCTGCCCGTCCCAGCATGCCCCCGCAAAGTCCCCAGTCCCTCTGGACCCTCGGCTGGCCCCGCTTTCCCTGGTCCTGCCCATGTCCATCCTGGCATCCCCCTACAGGTGCTCCCCGTCCTCCCATCCGTACGCTGTCCATACCCCTGCTGCTGTCCATGCTGTCCCGCTCCTGTTGCTCCCCAGCCCTACACATTCATACCCACCCTGCTGC